CGGTCGGAAAAAATACAGTACTTTTGCTAAAAAAACAGAAATTATGTTAAAAATCTCATATAAACTTAATTTAATTTTTTCCTTTGTATCCGATGATGCACACAATCAAATTTGAGCGCTTTAGTTTGTTCTTTAAACGAAAGTAGGTGTGCTAAAAATCGTTTCAAGATTAAAAAAAATTGAAAGCAAAGTACGAAATAATCGCTTCACAACATTGAATTATCTTTCACAAACTGTGGGTGTACAAAATTTGAACTCGAGAGCTTACCAGGAAGCAATTTAAAAATCAATGGCAAACTTCTAACCATGGCGTTAAACACTATGAATAAGTTAAATCGTGAGTGAAACTATGAGTGAGCTAAATAAAAATGTTTTTGATTCCTGATTTAATAAAAATGTTTTTGATATGTTCATACCTGATTGTACTTATAGCTTTAGGCAGCAATAGCTTTTTCCACACAGTCTGAAAACATTTTTCGTCTATGAATAATTTGACTTGAATTAATATAAAATTTCGGATTGTAAGTGAAAAGTAGATGATGCTTCAAGATTAAACATACAACTGGTTTTGGAACTTAGCGATGAAGCAACAGTGCACGTTAACTAAATTATGAAGGATGATTTGTCTCAAAGGTGAAATTTGCTTTCATTAATAGTTAATTTTCAGTAGATTTATCAAACAAAAAAAAATCAATTTTCATTCCGTCACTAATCATAGGAGTTCTTGGATTATTTTTTTAGCTTAAGCAATAAATTTGCTTTCTACTTTAACGTATATTACTCACAAGATTCAGTTTAATATAAGCTGCCGATTTCCTTTAACGCTGTGGAATCATTAGGTTGAACAGAGAGCAAGAAACTTGAACTCTTTTTGTCATTTGAACTTCGGACCTTCTGACCCGACAGCCTAATCTTGGTGATGATGAATTATTGTCCACCCCATTTTAATTCAAAAGTCACTTGCACAAATTTTTTTTTTATTTTTTGGAGCTACAAAACGTGAGAAATCACCAATGCCCTCGCCGAAGTTCAAACACTGGGCCTCCCGAATGCTAACTGGACGTCCTTCGAAATACATCACGAAGGCACACGTGGCAAAGAAGGAGAAAATATCTTACAACTTGACGCTATACTTTCCATTTCTTCCATGTTTCTAAACTTATTTCATTTCTCAGCTTTATTGCTTAGATTAACCAAAAGAATATTTTAAGGTGTTTTAATACTTTAATAAGGTGTTCTGTTTTCATGACCTTTAAGTCCCGTTAATTAAGGAATTTAGTTTGAATTTTTTAGAGAATGGGAACAAAATAATGTAGATCATGCAAATGAGTTAAATACAATAGATGTCACAGGCTGCTTCATGTCACAAGCAACGCAAAATCGACAGATATTATGCATGTGCATCTTCAATTATGAACCATAAACATAAATAAATTTATGATTTTGAATACATATTTCAAACATCCATTTATGCTATGAGTCTCTATATTTGAACTTCGAGCAATATTTGAAAACAACGTACATAGAATAAATAAAACAGTAATATTTATATGCTAAAATTTAGTTCCTAAAGTTTAACAGCCGAATATCAGAAAAGATTTACTTTTCTGTTTGACCTTAATCTAAATAATTAACGTATTGCAGACCTTAATCTAAATATTTATCGAATGCAATCCCATAAATCAAAGTCTATTCACTTGCATTAATTGATATACAATCGCAATAACTGGAAAATTATCTGTTTATGTAACTGATCTGATCCATAACGGATCAGCAATTTCCAGAACCTACTTATAAAATGTGTAGTATAAATTTCCTAAGATATATACAAAATTCCCTTTTGAGTACTCACAAAATGCTTTAAATATATCCCTTCACGAATAGAACAGATACAATCATTTATAATAGTAATAAGGACGTAATAATACAACATATAGCTTTAGAGCCTAAAGGCTTTAGTATTCTGAATCCCTAAATAGTAGTTTTCGGTTAGTTTTATGATTCTAAATGATTTGGAGAGGCATATTTCAACCCGCAGCGTGAAAATTATTGGGGCGAGAAAAACATAACTGTAAATCTGTATCAAATACATTTTATTTCAAGTACAGAACAAGGTAGGTTTCGCATAATGTTCAATGGTTGACTAAATACTGGAAAATCTTAATTTAGAGAATAATATGTAATATATTTTTGCAATTCATGGGAATTTAAATCACTACGGAAAACAAGCTGTTGGTAATGACTTTTTAAATTTCTTAGATTGTTTAACATTACTTCCTTTTAATGAACTTTACTTAGCATAGTCCGATGGTATCCGTTAAAAATAATACTACAGATTTTCAATATTAAATGTTGGAAAATTTTTTATCAAAGTTACTCTAATTAGATCTATCAGAGAGCTTCTTTTCTTTAATTTTGTTTTGAGCTGAAAAATTCAAGTCTAATTTTTCTTTACCATGAGTAAATAATTAGTTTTTGTTGTCGACGGGAATAACGAATTTCGGGAGTGGAAAAACTATTTTGCAATCTATAAGTCAAGCACAGATCTGTAATCTCAAAAATAAAACAATGCAAGATTATTTGAATGGCAAACTTACGGGAATTTAAACATGCAATACATGTAGCTCCAGCTACACTACTATATAGACAAAAATCATCAAACACTTTGGATATTCCCTTTTTTTCAGGTTTTGGTAAAAATACATGGCGAATTTTTCCGCAACTGAGGCTATGTAAATAATATCTTTGAACTAATAGCTTCGACGGAAAATTCAATCAAGAGTGCATTTAGGTAACCAAAGACAAAATAATTTAGAAAAAAATCTTTTTATCATCCTGTATCATAAAAGCTGGAAAATGACATGTAATTTTCGTATAAATTTGTACTTTCTGTCTGCAGGTTTCATAAGCATTTTCGAAAAATGACACATCTATTATCAAAGATGTAAATGGTTCTTTATTTTTTTTTGCATGTGCTAACCAAATTTAACAAAACTGCTGTAATGTTCAAGAGAATCACTAAACTGAATGTGAAACAAAAGCAGTGAGTTTTCCATGAGACATTGGACATTGCGTTTAGAAAATATAAATTTTAACAAAGCATGCGTGAAAAATATAAACTTTTTTCATTTTTCTTTCATAGTTTGGCATTTAAGTGTATAACTTCATGATGAACACATACATGTAATAAATAGTTCAAAGCCCGTAAATTAATGCCTTCACTAAAATTTCACTATCCAAAGACGTACATTAATTTTATACATGCTGTGTGGAAGCATAAAAGACTTTTGTTAGTAATTTGTACCGAGTAAACTGTTCTGTTTAATTTTTTAAATTTATCTTTCTTTATTAGTTTAATCCTGCTCGTTTGTGTGGTGTTAAAAAAAGCACAGCATAAATGATTGAAATTCTTCAGCTTCTTTCCAGCAGACGATGTCCAAATCATGCGGTTCTAACTATGAGACGCGCTCGAAATTCGAAGACAAAGCTGTATCACAATTCACAATTCTTCAGTTGTAAAAAACAGACACAACTTGCACTTAAAAAGTTCTTTCTCTTCCATTGGAAATACTTTCCTTTTGGGTACACCCGATCCTGCCGTTAGAATTTATAGCCGACTCCTTGTGATGTACCAGCTTTTGTCAGGAATAAATAGATGGTTGAAGAATCATAAATGTAGTCATAGCTTAAATTATCAGACGCTAAGTTTAAAAAACAGGATCCATTTATTATTGGTCAGGAGAAATAGCAGTTACAAAATCAGATATCCGGAGTAAATAAAAAAGAACTACTAATAATATTTTGTATGAAGTTTACTACATCGTGACATTTAAGAAATAGCCCCGATATTCAATTGCGAGTCCTTTTATAGCCTCTGGAAAGGCGGAGCTTCCGAGAAATGACGTCAGCCTCGTCAGCCAATCCAGTTCGCTTTAAATATTTCCTGAACATTCTATAACTGTACGTGTAGAAAAAGCGGGAAAAACAACTTGACTACGGGGCTGTGAATTTAATTCCACGTACTTTCAAATAAGAGACCGTCGCCATTAAGAAAGAAAAGAACATACAGTTAGAATTTTAAGTGTATTCTTGTCTATGGAATTTTATTACAAATATATAGTGCTAATAATATATATATATATAGAAATTGTAGTAAGCTCGCCTAAAAGTTAGAGTTTTTTCTAGACCAAATTGTCATTCAGTATTGTAATTACTACCTTGCTTGATATATATATATATATATAATATATATATATATATATATATATAGTGCTAATAATATTATTTCCATACCTCTAAAGCGGAGAAAAATATTGTAGGTAGTAGACAAGTTATACTGTGCTTATCTCCGAATTTCTCCTTTTTTTTTTTTTTTTTTTTTTTTTTTTTTTTTTTTTTTGTTTCTTTAATTTAGAGGTAAAAATTAAGCGTGCGGTTGGGGCTTACACACGTAATAATACGGTTCGCTTTGTGGCTTTGTGTCAGGAATTTAAGTAGTCATGGTTTGGTTTTAGTTTATTTAATTATGGCAAAGCACACTAGGGCTATCTGCCTAAGGGGATGGATGCCTTAGTGGAGGACTTTCTAAGGGAACCTGACTCGTATACACGTTACACATGGGGAAAACCACGAAAAAAACCCATGCAGCCAGCCCGTTCGCGGGATTCGAACCTCGGACCGAACTACCAGTGTTCAGTTCAGCGACTTTACAGCTCGAGCGCTGGTGGGCCTATTTAAGTAATGAGCTAGGGCAATGTGTTTAATTATTGAAACAACGCATTAATTTATTATTACTGTTATTACTAAGTGCATTGACTATATTATAATAAGATTCATTTATTTATTATGTATTGTTTCTTCTGAAGATATTTTGAGGGCATTTTCAATAAACTTAAATTAGTAAATTACGATTATGATACAATATATAATACCACACCCTAAGATGCTCCTCCAAAGATAAAAGTTTTGTTTGTAAATAAATTAATTATCCTTTTTTTCAGGTCCACCTGTAAACGTTGGAGTCACAATGTATATTCTTAGTATAAGCTCCGTCAATGAAGTACAGATGGTAAGTTGTAATAAGCTTTTCTATTTATTCGCAGTTTTTCATTATTTGTGATAAGGATAGGCTTCTTTAATTAGAAGTACCTCAAAATTTAAGTTTCAATTACAGGGTGCGGCAGCGTTCATAGTAGGATATTAAAAACACACCATAAGGCAGTAACTGTAATTTATTTATTACCTCTTATGTTAATTAATAGTTAAAGGTATGCCATTTACTAATGTGTAAGTCATTGTCCATTGCGTGGATTACTTTTTGAATATGATGCCTGTTAAATAATGCCCCCTCTGCACAACACATTCATCTAGGCGGCGTTGGAAGCTTGCCATAATTCGCGTAACGTATTCCCTGGGACATTGCCGACGGCAGTTCTAATGCGATCCTTCAACTCAGGAATGGTGGCACAACGTGTTCGGAAAACTTCTTGCTTCAGGTGTCCCCAAAAGAAAATGTCTGCATATGAAAGATCAAGTGAGCAAAGCGGCCAGGATATGTCCCCAAAACGGGAAATTGCTCTACCTGGAAATGTCTGTTGCAATGGTCCGTCCATCGGGAACTTTCCCATGACATCCCAAGTTGAAATGTTGCCGAAATAGACGCTGGGTAGCAATAATAGAGTAGTTATTCTTGAAATAACTTTTAACTGCAAAGACACGATGCTGTGCACTCCATCGATCCATATCACTGTCCCACGCGAAATGGCAGCTCATTAGTACACGAATGCGGCACGAGCTGGCGCGCATTAATGCAGTACGTCATAGTGCTACGCAAGTCAAATTACGCTATGAACGCTGCCGCACCCTGTATTATGTCGCATGTGGCTCCATCTATATATATATATATATATATATTATTATATATATATATATTTCTACACGTACGTATTTAAAAAAATGGGTTAGATAGAATACTTACTTTAATTTCCAATAGTCCTACAGTTCTCTATTTTAATATGGTACTTTCCCCTTTTGGTCCTAAAATATGAATCCTATATAATGCTAATGACACAAGCACTTACATAATGCTTCAGTCAATAATGATTTAAAATTTGGGAACCGGAACTTACTATTAACCGATAAGGATTAATCTGAACTTAAACCAATTCATTCTGAACCAAACTTTCATTTCATACGGCGTCGCATTTCTGCTCGTGCTTGTTTTCGTACCTATCTTTCATCAATAGTAACGGCTTAATGATGTAGGAAAGGCAAAAATGTGCTCGAAAACGGGAGCTCAGATTGCTCTCATTACCATCTGTAATTCCTATTAAGAATGTGCTTCCCAGAACCAAAGAAAAGTTAAAATTGGCCATGACAGCAACTACATTTTTATATATTTCTATGCCAGCAATATCTAAATTATTACACACACACATATATATATATATATATATATGTTATATATGATATATATATATACACATATATATATGTGTGTGTGTGTGTGAAAATTTTACGTTTTTTAAGAAAATAGTTTTTTTATTTTATTTTATTCTTCAGTCAAAAAAAAAAAAAAAAACGGTCGGAAATTTCCAGCACTTTTTTTCATTTATTTGACTTGCGTAAACAATCAAGTAGTTTTTTTTCCTAATATAATCAAAAGGAAAAAAATAATGTCAAAAGCACTTGCAATAAAATTTTTAGATGAAAAAATTAACAGCAGTGTTATTTTCTGTAATTTTGTAAATAGTAATTGACGGATGTGCATTTGGTGGTTGCGATTCTTAATTATGAGATACATTGGGATTTATTAGATTTTACTGAGTGTCTAAAGAATCTAAAATGCTGATGCCGGTCTTTTCGTTTTCAAACTTAGTTTTTGATGTACTAACTAGGTACTTTAATTATGCGAAAGAAATTAATATTTTGTTACATTATAAACAACAGAGAATAATGTTTTTTTTTTCATCTGCGAAAAGATGAGTTCGCTCTTATTAAGCTATTTGAGGTTATGCTTCTTATAATTCAAAAATATTTTGAAAAGTAAACGTTGATCTATTATCATACAGTTTTCACGCAAGTATAAACACACTTGATTGTTAAAATGTAATAACTTTCGATAAAATATATTACCAAATTACAGAAGGTCGTAATTTATAGCTGATCACAGAAAATCAAAGATCTATAATGAGGGAAGCTCGAGAAATATCTAAACAAATCTAATCTTCACGGGACTTGCACAGGTTATAAAATGCAAACTTAGTTATTCTCTCAGATTAGCGCTGTTTTCCTTTCGTGCAAAATTCAACGTATTACTATTTTTTTTAATCAAAGCACGGTTTGCTTCTGATTTTTAATATTCTGTACATATCTCATGAAGATCTTCACAAGACCTGCACAGAAAATTAAAAAATCAGAGTGATGAAAATTTTACAGCCACAGCCGCTGACTTTTAACTCTCATAGGATACGCACAAACTCAAAGCCCCGAATTAATCAATTGATCTCTTTTTCTGTTTCTGCGCGAAAAGCGTGAAGAAAACCCGCCGTCTTCGGAATTTCACCTTAGGATGCCTTTTGCTTTGAAAGTATCCTTCTCTTCCTAAAAGCTTTTTCTCATAGTCTAGAATAAAAAGGTGAGAAAGGTTAAACAAAAAATCACTAAGGAAACACGAGTGCAGTTACTCACATCGTGATTAGCTACAATTAAAATAATGAATGGTTCAAACGATATCGAGACACATCATAAGTTGCAGATAAAATATAATTAGCAGACTCGCAACATAAAGTGAAGATAAGAAGGTTAAAATATGTTCAATAATTAAGTCTGTGTTTTTTCCGTTTCAGCTAGCTTTCAGAAAGCAATATTAAATAAATTTCAAGTTCCTTTCCCTGAACTGACTCCACGCGAGAAAAAGCAGTGCTTTTATAAATTATTGAATGCACTGAGTTCGTAAATGCGCAGTCAATCAGGCTTCCAAATATCTAAAATACACCTCCTTTCCGATTGCAACGCTACATTTTACTGCTCCGATTGTGCATTTCGTTACGGAATAGTGGTTAATTCGTTATCAATAATGGTTAAGTTAGCAATGAATTGTGTTCCTTTCTCGTATTGCAGTTACTTTGAAAATCGAATCTTACTAAATAATTTTAAGTTTAGACGTTGGTTAAAAATATGTACCCAATACCAGTGATGATTACACATCCGAGTACATGCATGTTAAAAATATAGAAATATTAATTTCTGCTTGCCATATATTGTTAGAAAGTGTTCCATATGTATGAATTAATTTTTGAAACCATTTCTTCAATTTCTAGTAGATGTTTAAGCGTTGATTTCATTTTCTTTTTTCCGTTAGCTTCACTTTCTCTTTCTTATGAATCAAAAGTTTTTGCCACTGTTTAGCCAACTTATTTTTTGTTTTCGTTCCTATTAGATATGCGGGTGTCCTTTTATGGATTAAAAGCATTAGAGGCTATCTGTATACTCTGACTGCAGAAACAAATATAAAATGTCTTTGAGCTACATTTTTTGCCTTTCATTGTATGAACATAAGATAATTTTGAAGATATGACTTTCCTTCGTTATTTCTAAAAGATTCTTTAAAAATACAAATTCTGAGATGAATTTTCATAGAATTGGTTTAAACCTGGATTTGCCTTTGCTTGGCTTTAAATTCTTATGAGTTTATTTTTATAAAACTTATTTTTATGTAGCAAATATAACTTCTTTTCCTGCTTTGCTGCTGCAGGCTTACTGAATTGCTGGTTCTTAATTCGAGTTGAATAGTTTGATTTAGTTTCCATTTTCTTGGCTTCTAAGTTCAAACACTTTTTTTCTTGATTTTGGTACTACACATCTATTAGCTAAGTATTTAATCGAAATGACTGAGAACTTGTTTTCTTATTATTTTCTGAGAATTAAACTATTCGACTATAACGATGCATTTTCCACGATTGAGTTTATATCGAACAAAATTTGCCTTAGGTATCAAATGACCCAATCGTATTCTAATTCAGTTATCGTTGTGGTTAAGAAAGAATAATTTTTCCTAAGTTTCTGTGCACGTAAGCACATTCTTCTCTGAACATTTTAGAGTCCTTGAGCTTTCAGTAAACTATGTGTATTGTAGACTCAGAATCTCAAAGAATATGCTAAAATTGTTCATTAATATTCTTCATCCTTGTGGCTTAACATAATTAAGCACTCTTTCTGTCAGTCCGCTTATCTGATAGTATTTGTTTCAGACTAGTTTTGATGGTTATTTAGACTAAAACTCTATGGCCAAAGGTAATTATCTACTCCTCCCGTCAACACACTATGGCTGCTTATTTCTGTAAAATCTGCAAAATTAGTGTTAAAAAAATTAGTTACATCTATATTGTAACATTTATTCACTTTGAAATTCTCGAATTTTATCTCTCGCATCTGTCTTTTGAGCTCACGTTTTACATTATGATTATTTTTGAAGATTTTCCTTAACCTCATCCCTTAAATTCCATGAAAACAGTCGTAAAAATATCCATTCTTTTCATGATAAGTTTAAACAATGTAATCTTCAATTTTTAATTTTAGAACAAATGCTAAGTTGAATCAGTATATTAAATTTCCGTAAATAAACACTTAGATGTTTCGAAGGGGTGATGCGCATTTTAGAAATTAAGCTTCAGTCTCATCCCGAGATGACATAAGTACGCGTCTAACTAATACTTTTTCTTCAATTTCCCATTTCAGCGCGTCTTCTTGCAGACGGGACTCTAGCAGCTGCTTTCAAATAATAATCCTAGCTTCCATTTTAAATTTTGCTATATATATTACAGGCGAGGATTTAATTTATCATTTATTTATTTACTTAAAATGATGGATTTTATGATGACATATATTGAATATGAATCGTCAGCCCTTTGAAACATACGATGCAGTGGGATAATGACATTTACTTAGGATTACAGGCTCTAACTATGCCTTTGTCACTAATGACTATGTAGAGACATTAGGTATTTTTGGAAGCAGGCAAGATGAAAAATTAGCAACGCCTTCGAACCGCGGACCTCTCAATTATGC